TCCCCCTTTTTGAATTAGGTTAAAAGGTTAAATAATAATCTATATTAATTGTATTAACTAAAAAACTACTATGTAGAGTTATATATCTTCTTAAATTAATCTTATATGTAAAAACGTGGGTTCGGTTCCTAGAAGAGTACCTACCTAGTTCACTGTGCAGCCAAATTTATATTTATAATACAGAATTTTTTGAATAAATAAAGTTTACGGTTTAATTAAACACTAAGTTTTATCAGAAATAACATTTTCTGAAAAAAGTAACATATAGAAAGCAGACTTTTAGAAAAATAAATAAAATTTTTATATAATCACATAAATGTGATTTATCTTTTAGAATATTGTATATGTTTGTCAAAGTTTACTAATTTTTAAAAAAAAATAAATATCCTTCAAAATTTTTCTTACATTTTTTAACACGGTACAAAATACCTTAATCCGTTTATAGTTGTCGATTTTAAACAAGACGGAGACCGGACATCGTCGAAGAGAAACCGCGAAATTAGTAAAGAATTTTAACTTGATTAAAAAGCGTTCTTTCTCTTTTCATTTCCTATAAAAACTAATAGACCTTTTTGAAATCGGTATTCGCTGACTTTTCTTCTATTTTATTGCCTTGAAAATGATATGATTTACATAAAAAACAAAAACTAACTTATTATTTTTGTGAAATAAAAATATGTTGTTATTTTCACAATTTTCGACCACTCTTTGTTTCAAAAAAATACGATGTTCTTCTGTAGATATTAACACATTCTTTAATTGGCTCTTTTTTTTTAATATTCTTTAGTATTTTCATAATTTGGAAAACAGTATAGCATTGAAACTTCAATACCTAAAAAATTGTGAGTACGCTTTTAATTAATTGTCTGTTTTTTTTTATCTCACAATGTCTCGATAAGAAGTTATATAGAAAACAAATCTTATTTTGCTCTGAATTTATGGTCCATGCCATATCGGGTGGCTTTAAAACTAAATAAAAGATTTTAGGAGATTTTTTAAAAATTTCTTAAAATTTTAAAGCAGTGACTCATTTCCGTCTTTTCCAACAATACAAAATCAGCTTGTTTTTCTCTCATTTATAGACATTGGCTAACTTTTTAGAAAATTTTCTCTTGCAACGCGCCTCAAATGGTGCGACAGTCAAAGCCATGTGCGAAAGCAAGAAAAAATATTTACATTACTTTAACGGATTGAAGAGATATTAACGTGCTGGAATTAATAATTATTGTTGACTCGAAGAGGTATTCATTAAACAAAAACATATTTATAATTCACATCTCAGTGTATACCTTCCAATTTCGGATATATATTTTTTAATACATAAATGATAAAATTAATTTAATATAATTGAGCGAAATTACTGTATGTAAAAAATAACATGAATTGAAATCACTAAATAGTAGACAAAAATATATATTTTGTTGGTGTCACCCTCTAGACGAAAAAGCTTTAACGTATTTCTATTTTTATTATATTAAAAATAAATGCTCCTGTAGGCAAAAATTATGGTATGGGTTAAGCCTTTACCTGTACATAAAATTTCTTTTAGTAAAATTAAAAAATAATCCGCAAAATTGGTGTACTATGAAACCGTTGCATATAATATATATACCAATCTTAGTATTACAGAAATAAATTACGTAAAAAATAAGGTGTACAAATACGTAAAATTTATTCATCCCTCGTAAAACATCAGTAAAATATATTATAAATTGTTTTCATTCACAAATGTTAATTTCTTAAAAATCTATCAGAGGCGCCACTTTCCAGACGAAAAATCTTGCAATGTAAGGGTTTCGTAGTACCCCACTTTTAAAGTTTATTTTTGACTATTTTTAAAAGAAAAAAATATGTACGTGTAGGTAAAGGTTAAATCTATGCTCCTCTGGAATTACTTTTTCAAAATTCAATTTAGTTTTTTCTAAAAAAAATTGAGAAAATGGGTAAAAAATGTCAAGTTTTGTATTTTTTTTTTTAGAAAAAACAGTTTCAAATTTTAAAAAAGTGTCTCCAGAGGAGCATAGATTTATCCTTTATCTACACGTACATATTTTTTTCTTTTAGAATAAGTCAAAAATAAACTTTAAAAGTGGGGTACTACGAAACCCTTGCATGCTCCGCTCTACAGCCAAGTAAATACTCCTCTTAAGATATTTCTATATGATATATATTCATTTTTTATATTTTCATTACTGGGATTAGATAAATGCCTACGAAATAATCGGTCTCTATTTTTGATAGATGTTACTAATCCTACCGTAATCCAAGGTTTCTTCTTATTCTTTGTTTTAAATTTAATTATTTTTGTAGACTCTTTTATATGTGTTTCATACTGTTGAAAAAATAAAGAGGAAGCTGTTTCAGGATTTTGAGAATTTAAAATATTATCCCAATTTGTATTTTGAATATGACTAATAAAAATATTTAAATTTAGTTTATTATAGGTGGTTACAACTGGTTCTGTCTTGGGTTTACCTAACAGTTTTTTAGCCATCATTACTGGAAAATGATCTGTGATAGAAGTTTGTATAATTCCCGAAAAAATGTAGTCATTATAATCTTTATTTTTTCCTTTGACAAATATATGATCCAAACATGAAGCACATTTATCTGTAATTCTTGTATATTTATTAATTAGTGAAATGAATCCTCTTTCGTATAAAACATTTAAATAAAAATCCGTCACTGGATCATTTGTTAGGATATCAAAGTTCAAATCACCAACTACGAAGGTATAATCAAAATCAAGGTTAAAATTTTTTAGTAGCTCTGACAATGAATTTACGAAATCTTCTCCATTACTTTCTGGAGGTCTATAAATTGCCAGTAAAGCAATTTTTTCATTATTTATTTGAAAATTTACATTGATTGTATTTACGTCACCTATTTGAAGTAATTTGTAGCCTAAAAACAGTTCTTTTTTATGTAAACAACTACGCCATCATTTTGATTATATCTCTTTTCGGTGTGAATTAGTTCATAACCATCCATTTTCCAAGTTTCGGTAAGTACATAACAACTAAAAGAAGTTTTAGTTTGAGAAACTAAACTTTCAAATTCCTCAAAATTCTTGTTGATACTCCTAATATTGTGGTGGCATATTGATAAATTATCATACGTTTTTCTTAAATCTATAAAATTGTTTAAAACATCAACACTCTCAAATTCATGTGTATCTACAAAATAATCATTAAAATCCCGAATAAACGTATCCATTTCAATGTAATTTTTTTTTTGTGTTTTGTTTTTAATTTATGCAATTTTAATTCTATTGTTAAAAAACACTAATCACTATTAGATAAAACAAATAACTTGACAATAACTCGTTTTATCCAGACAGAATTGTCTTCCTTTTTTCTTCCGGAAGCCGTTCCAACAGAAAAATATTTATTGCTGCTATCCGATGCTGCCCCGTACATGGTAAAAGAGGCACAAAATTTAAAAATGTTTTATGAAAACTTAATCCATGTTACATGTTTGGCTCATGGCCATAACAGAGTTGCAGAAGAAATTAGGTCTAACTTTCCTTTAATAAATGATTTAATTAGTAATGTAAAAAAAATATTTCTTAAAGCTCCTCTAAGAACTCAATTGTACAAAGAAAAATTTCCTGAATTATAGATGCCACCGGAACCTGTGATAACTCGGTGGGGTACCTGGCTTAAAGCTGCCCTTTTTTACGCAGATAATTATGAAAAAATTAAAGAAATCATATTTGATTTTGATGATTAATCTAAGGGAACGTCTAATACAAAGAAGTTGTTTTAAAATCACATATTACCAAAGCAATTAGTGTTTTTAAAAAATTATGTATTTGTACCCAAAATTATATTAGATTTAGAACAAAAAAATTTACCTTTGGTGACTTCCGTAAATTTAATTAAGACGTTTGAATGAGATTGTAAAAATGTCCAGGGCGATATTGGAAAGACGATTTTTCATAAATTTTCAAATGTAATTTTAAAAACTGAAGGATTTATTATTTTAAGAAATCTTGCTAATATTTATTCTGGTAAGTTTGAAGATATTAATACTATTCATCCAGATATTTCAGGAAAATTTAAGTTTGCACCTATTACTTCTGTAGGTGTCGAAAGTTTTTCTTTGTACAAGTACATACTTACTGATAAGAGACAATCATTTAATACAGATAATTTAGAAAAACATCTAATTGTTCATTCGTTTTATAATAATGTTGATTTGTAAATAAAATTGGTTAATAATTAAATAATTATTAAGTATTATATTGGGTATTGTAAAATAAAACAAATAATAAATATTTATAAACTATTTCGATCAAAAAACAAATTACTCTTATTACATATGCTCTGCATATTTTTCAATTTTTTACGCATATATTAAAGTATTTTGCGGCATATATATGCGCATATTTAACTACTTTTTGGGTGCATATATTCCTAGGTCTACTTATCAGTAACCTTTGTTCCATCTTTTAATTTTATTTCATCAATTTTTGTTTTATGTCTCTGTTATAATAAAAGTATTTCTATAACTGGTTACTGTGGGTTCTAAATTATTTAATATTTTTTAAGATGAACTAAACAAATAATGTAAAAGTGAATCATCAAAAATTTAGATACTTTTATATTTTAATTATTATTACAACCTTCTTTCTTCAACTAATAGTTAAATGTTGATAAATAGGTATTATGTTTTGAGTACTTAGATTTATACTAAAAAAAATGCGTCCTACACAATTTTTGTAATAACCAATAAAGATATAAATGAACTATTTCACATATTATTTTTGCCATTATAAAGTTATTTAAATTGTATCATTAACAATTACTAATTTCACCCGTTAACCTTGTCTTTACATAAATAAAAACTATATAAATCACGGCTTACACCCTAATCCAGTTTTAAAATTAAATATTCATTAGATTTTGTTAGTGGGAGTAGGTATATCCAGTTACTGGTTATAAGTTAACTACATATTATTAAATTAAAACACCATTCTAATCAAATGATTAACCTACCTTGAAACTCATTTTACCGACAGAGTTGGAATCACAAACTAAAGCCCGTGTTGCCCTTTTGCAAGTTTTATATCACCTGTGTCGGCAACAATGCGCTTCTAGCCTTGTAAGAATGCTCTGTTAGCAGTTACAGCTATCAGACAAGCCTGTTTCTAATGCATACTTGCCTACTATATTGAATTTCTCCATTTGAATTAATCAAAAACATAAAAATGTATTTAAAGGTCGTGTTCGATAATTATGTTAAACTAGGATTGTGACACGCCTGGTAGAATTTTTGTTGTAATTGATACATTTAAAGGCGCATTTCAACCAGACCGATACAGCAATAAAACGGCAACTCGACTTTAAAAAAACTGGAAACATTTTAGAGATTCTGGATCGCATACGACTTTTTTCATCAACATAGCGGACATTGTCAAAAAAAAACAGTTACAGCTTATTTTATGTCCGTATAGTGGAATTTGAGTTGTTTCAATTTTGTTTTCTGAAATTTAAAACTTGTTTCTGTTTGTATTTTTTCAAATAAAGCTCATTCGTCAGTGCGTTTGATGAAAATCCACTATTTTTTCAAATATATAGGACGTAAATTGTGACCCCCACCTCTTAACTTTAAAATGGAAGATGATAGAGACACTAGGCCGATTAAAAAAAAAAAATTAATTTTTTTTTTTTCGAAATCCTCATGTAAAATTTTTTGAGAAGGTGTTAAAAGATACCTGTGAAAACGAGAGCCCTTAATATTAATATTAAGAGGTCGCGAATCGCAGATTTCTATTTCCCATTTAAATAACACGGAAATTTTTTTTTTAATTTTGGAATTTGTAACTCTGAAGCGGTTGAATGGATTGCCAAACCAAAAATTATTCTTATAGGAAATTTGACTATTTTTAATGCGCCACCCATGTCGATGTACATAATGAGGTGAACAAGTAGTGTGCTTGAATAGTAGCTTAAATGAGTAATCAATAAAGTAAAAGATCTTTGATAATTGAAGGGGTTAGAAACAAAAAGGTTTATTTGACTTTTTTTTTAAATAAGTTAAGTACATATTTCGTTATTTAAAACTATTGTTTTTTTGGTGGTAAAACGATACAAGTAATTTTTGATGTGTTAACGACATCTGTCAGCTGGTAGAAAAACATGCAGTTTGTTGTTGTAGACAAAACGGTTTAAGTGCACTTAACTCATTTAAAAAAATATCACTTGAACCCTTTTGTCTCTAACCCCTTCAATTGTGACAAGAAATGTACTATTGTGTTAAAGTTGGGAAACTATTAGTTGGTATTAGTGGAGTATTTGTGTAATATAATATATGAGTGTAGTTGCCAAAAAAATAAATTTAAAATGAACCCACTCTCTTGTTTGGAATATTTCGGTACCATAACCCGAAGGTACATAAGTACTTGGTGGTGACCACTAGAAATAGGTGGATGGTTAAAAATCCAAGAGATTAGGGATCAGATTGACCCAGTGGGTAGGATGATATAAGAATCATCAAGTTTAAAGGAGGTGGTTTTGAAAACCTTACACAGCACTACCCACATCAGCAATTTTTTTAAATTAATCAGTATTTTTGTTAAGTGCGCAGTAGTGGCAAATAAAATTATGCAATATCAGAGACTAATAGGTTATTAGTAGAGAGCGGAATATATGCAAAATGCATATATATGCATTTTTTGCATATTTTACCAAAGTTCAGAAAATATTGCATATTTTTCCAAAATTCAGAAAATATTGCATATTTTCGAAAAAAAAAAAATGTATTACTATACTGTGCAAATCAAAAACTGTTTTAACAGATTATACAGATATATTTGAAATAAAGACCTTTTAAATTTTTGTATTTGTTTTTAATGTCACTTCTTGTAAATTCTTGTTAATTAGTTCTTGGAAGGTGGCATGCACTGGGTTTTTACCTTCTTAAGAGATTAAGTCCATTAAGGTAATTGTTAATAGATGGTATTTACACAGATAAAGTATTACCTACAATGCAATAAAACGGTTTACATAAAATTCTCAGTAATTTCTTGTAACCAATCTACCCTAACATCGGAATACTTTGAATGTTTTTCATTCAGTTTAATGAGATAGTATCCTCGTTATTTGCCTAGTGAAAAGTCTTGTAATAATTTGTTGTTTTAAAAGTGTCCTAAAATGTCGAGAATTTCTTCGTGGATTATTAACTTTCCAGAGTTGGAAATCAATGGGGATAAAGTTTTTTGTAAAGCTTGTGCCAAAATAGTGGTTTGCGAAGAAAAGTTCAAAGTGGTTCAACACGTGAAAACATCATTACATAAAGCCAAATTGCAAAAAATACAATCACAACCGGTTCAACAATGCGTTGTGAGGTCATTTCAAAACGCCGACGAAACAAAAAGTGACAAGGAGGTATTTAATCAGGACTTGTGCAAAGCTCTTGTTGCGGCAAATATTCCATTAAAGAAGTTACAAAACCTACATCTAAGAGAATTTTTACAAAAATATTGCAATCAAACCATTCCTGACGAATCTCCACTCAGAAAAAAAAATGTACATGCTATATATATAAATGTAATAGAAGAAATTAAAGTTTTACTGGATGATAGCAATTTTTACATCATTGTTGATGAAAGCACAGATGCTTGTGGAAGATATATGGTACATCTTATGATTGGAGCCTTAAAAGAAAATGAACCAGGTACATCATATTTAATTGCATCAAAACAGTTAGAAAAAACTAACAATACAACTGTTACCCGATTTATTCAACAATCTCTAGCAGAATGTTTTTTACCAAATCAAATTTCCTCAGAGAAGTTCTTAGTGTTTTTGTCTGACGCAGCACCATATATGATAAAAGTAGAGCAAAACTTAAAAATATTTTATCCAAATATGGTCCACGTTACTTGTCTTCTGCATGAAATAAACTTAGTTGCAGAAACTGTGAGAACAGAATATCCCTTGGTTAACAAGCTAATTTCGAATGTGAAAAAAATATTGTTAAAAGCCCCTTTAAGAGTGCAGTTGTATAAATAGAGAATGGTAGGGGTGTGTTTGCCCCCGGAACCCGTAATTACGCGATGGAGGACATGGATTAAAGCAGCTATATTCTATGCAGAAAATTTTGAAGCAATTAAGGATTTAATTTTGGATATAGAAGACAATTCACAATGTGTTGCGCAAAGTAAAGAATTGTTAAAAAATCCCCTTGTGCCTAAGCAACTTGTGTTTATAAAGGTTAATTTTAGTTTTTTACCTGATGTAATAACTTCATTGGAAAAGAAAAATTTAAGTTTAATAGAATCAACAAATTTTATTGCAGCAATTTCCGATAAATGTAACAATATTCCTGGTGACATAGGCCTTAAGATTAGAAAAAAATTAAATACAACTTTATTAAAGAATGAAAGGTTCAATGAAATAAGGGAAGTGAAAAACATTTTTGAGGGAAAATTTTCCAAAGAAGTTTTACGTTGGCCCTGTACATTACTTCCAAAATTACGGTATTGTCCTATTACTTCGGTAGATGTTGAAAGGACCTTTTCTATATCAAAACATATTTTTACAGACAGAAGACAAAAATTTTTAATAGAAAATTTCGAAAAATATTTAATTATAAATTCCTATTATATTATTACTATTTAATATTTTTATACTATTTTATACTTAACTTCTACTAGTTTTTGTGTTTCGTTTGTTTTAAATAAATTTTTATATTACATATTTTCTTTTTTTTTTTTTTTCGTGTAATGGCTTTGATAGCGTACCAAATTAGGAACAGCAATGTTAATTAGAACCCAACAGTGAATGGTCAAGTGTAAATATTCGCTAGGCATCAGAATTAATTTTTAAATTAATTAATTTAAAAAATCGCGTCCCGGCTGGAATTTGAACCCGGGACCCCTAAGTCCACAGGCCAACGCACTAACTGAGCTACCCACCCCCTACTTTTTTTTAAGTATTTTCAAATATGCATTTGCATATTAAGGCATAATTGGACAAAATAACTGCATATTTTTGGTAAAAACGATGCATATATGTATGCGCGTATTTTGTTATATTTTGATGCATATATTCCGCCCTCTAGTTATTAGTCTCACAATAAAATCTATTTTCTTTAGCTAAAATTTTATTTGTCTTGATCGTATGGGGTTAGATAATACGAAAACAAACTCTAACATTGATAAAGTTTGTTTTCGTATACCTTCAAACGTTGGCATGGTGAATTTGCGATACATAAAATTGAACAGTTTTGTGTTTTAACTTACTTAAGAGAAACTAATTGGTATAAATGTGAAAAAATATGTTGATATTTAAATTAAAACAATGAACATTGACAGGGATGTGTGTGTGTGTGAGAGAGATATGGCTTCGGACAGTGTCAATTTGCCACAGAATGTTTAAATAATAAAAACGGAATACAGAAAAGAAAGAAATAAGAGAAGTAGTGTCTCAAATATCTAGCTTAGTGTCGCATATAAATTTAATTAAAATATGGAGGATATGTTTATCGGTGCTTGTCAGAAGGGATGTCAAATTTACTGGTAGAGGAAAATTGAGAGAGATTAAAGATTTATATAGCCCAGATGTTTGCAATGCATAATTTTGACATTCAAAGAAAAGGTGATTGGCGTCTCCAACCGACGTATTATTGCAAGTGTAAGTGGGAGAGTCTATGATTTTTATTTTATGTAAATGGGCAGGAAACCGTCTATGATTTAATTTGAGACGTGATAGTATAGAAGTATATTTTTTGGGTAAACCAAAATCGTTGAGATGAGGAATATTATTAGGAAGTTGCCTATGAAGTTGAAAATAATGACTATTTGAATTTTTAGAAACATCATGGTATTGGCTTATCTGTTTCTTATGTTTTTCTTATGTGAATTGACGATATCAGGCAATGAAGAGACTTTGGTATATATACCGATCCTACAGACAGCCTTAGCTTCTTGATCTACAATTTCTTGCAAACAACATATTACCTCCAGATGACTTTGAGGAACAGTTAGACATACTTGAAAACACTATGTATTTACACCATGTAACTGAAATAGAAATAAAGCATGTTATAAATACATTAAAATCTAAAAAAGCGCCCGGATGGGACAAAATAAGAGCTGAAACAATTAAGGAAATTAAAAATAAAAT